GTAGAAATTTTTCTATATGCTACATTGGTTCCTGCGAGGTGTTTACCAATACACCTGTGTAACGGGCAGGGTCTGAGGGTCGAGTAGCCCAAGGCACACCACGATAGTAACTGGCAGGAGTCTGGAAGCGAGGTTCAGGAATGGGAGTACAACCGAAGCGAGTGGTACAAAGCTCGAGGGGTTCGGGGGTTCAGGGCCAGGGTTCAGGGATTCAGGAGGACGCGAAGTAGAAGAGAGTGTAATTCCTAGGTACAGGTGTCCGAATAATATCTAATTTCATATTTTTACTCGTGCGCGCCGCAACCGGGCTTATGCTACGAGCGCCCCCCCGACAGGAGCTTAACGCCGGCCGGGACCCACCGTTGGGGCTGGGGCCCTGCTACCCCCGCAAATACAGGCAACTAAATACAAGATACCGTAACCTCCGAACCCAAACCTTCCTGACCCGTTAGAGACACCAAGGCAACTCCACAAGCCAACACCTCCGCGAGCAAGCGACACACGAAAGCTAAGTACAAGCCCATCAACAGTTTGGCACCTACCCGTCCCACCTAGCCAGGCCACGGGAATCCCAGCACAATCAAAAAATCACTACCACGGGCAGTCCCGTCTCGCACCAACAATCCTCATCTCATCATATCATATTCTTGTCATAGGTATCCCAACCTATGTAGAGCCATCCATGTCCACCTCTTCTCCATGTTCCTCCGAAACCACAGATTCTTGGGTATCTGGACGGGGGCGAGAAGGGCAAACAGGGGAGTGGGATTCGTGCGGGCCATCACAGTTCACACACCTGGGTGTGGTATGGCTGCAGGGACGGCCACGGAGGCGGCAGGTAGCGGTAGGGCAGGAGTGATCCCCAGTAGAGTGAGGGAGAAGGCACCAGCGGCAGGAGGCAGGCAGGGTGCATTTGATGCTGTGGTGTCCAAACTTATGACAGTTGGCACACTGGGTGTATTTGTTGAAGCGCAAGCGGCGCTCGGTTCGGTATGTATTGGAGAAGGCGGAGAGGCGTTTGCCAACAAAGGAGGGAGCCTTGGGTCCAGTGATGGAAATAACAACAGTTGAGGCGAGTTTGCCGATCCGTGCTATATCAGAGGTAAGCCACCTAGGCTGTTCAGTAAGAGATAAGCCTGAGTTGAATGTGGTAAGTTCTTGGGCAAGCGATGCCAGAGAGGTAGAGGTAGGAATGCCATGTACCAGGAGCTGGGTGGCAGGGGTATCCAGGTGGACGGTAGAGGCACCAGGAATGAGGTGCAAAAAGGTGCCAACTTTGCTGTTGACAGTTGTGGCTCTGATCGTGTCCATAGTGGTAAGGGTAACATGTCCATCCCAGAAGGAGACAGACTGGATAAGAGTGGAGGCCAAGGCCTGGTTGATACTGTCGCGTAGCTGTACAGTAGTGGCGGTGAGGGGGGCAGCGTCTCGTTTGACAATGAGCCGACGCTCGCGCATGGTGAGGCCCTTTTTCTTGTCGGTAAGGGGCTTAACCGAGGTAGAGGAGGATTTGGCTGGTTTGGGACCAGGCTTTGCAGGTTTCTGAGAGGGCTTCCTTGTCCTCCTAGCGACGGTAGCCCATGAGGGAGGAGCTGCTGGGCCAGGAGGTTGGGCATGAGGAAGGGTAGGAGGTGGAGGAGGGACAGAGGGTTGCTCTGTAGTGTCTGTGGTAGGGGGTGCCGGCGGGGCAGTAGTAGGAGCAGGCTGAGAGGGGATGGAGGCGCGAAGCTCGTCCAGTTCCTCAGTAAGGGCGGTGATGTGCTCGGTTAGCCCATCGGTCGCCTTCTTGTAGTCTTCGTGCAAGATTTGCACCATGTGGATTAGGACAGGAAAGGATCTTCCAAAAGTGTAGGGTGTTGGGATGTCGTCCTGGGCTGCCAACTCTTCAAACATGTTCATGA